GATAAGAAAAATAAAATGTTTGAACAGCCGCGTATTCTGTGCAATTTTAGCTATAACTGGTAACTGCATCATTTACGGGCCACGTCTTCATATATGACATAGTATATATCTGACTTGTAACTGGTTCACTTAGGAATCATTACAATGAGTTGATGTTGTGTTTGTCGGTAGGTTGGGTGCTACTAACCACTACAGACTTTAGCCTGCTTGCACAGAAATTTCCTCTAATCCTCAGGATACAATNATACTAAAACGGTAGATGAAAATATCTGGAACTTGTTGAGAGAAAACGAAATTCCTAACTGCAATAAACACAAATCTTGGAAATTTATTTCTCTTTTTTGATAGCGATGCAGCTTGTCGAAGGGGGCGTTTCATTATCATCGTGTTATTGGTGCCGCTATCCGAACGCCAATGATCTTACCCAAAATTTTGCATTCAGGTCATATAGACCATTGGTTTCTTCAGGAAAAGAAAAAAAAGGTTTTTCGGTACGTGGATATAAAACTAACAACATTTAAGTCAACACATCACAACATTTTTGTTCGTTGTTGTGTTGTTATAATAGTCAAAAACACATTGGTTTATCATCATATCACATGATTCACCGATGATTCCAAATAGTTTAGTCTGCACATTGGACCGAGATCGCCTGCGGACACTGTGCACGATTTCTTCGAGCAGTACGGTGTGAACTCGTATAAATGTTCTTCTAAATACTCGGTTTCCGGACCGCCTTTATTATTTCTAAGAGTTTGATCCTTATGGCGGTTTCATCTGCTACCAGTTGAACGCATCGCAATCAGATTCAGATGTTGCAATTTTTTCACAGCTCCTAGTGAAAGTAAAGCTATACTGTCGCTGTTTGTTACAGATTTCAAAGTTGCTTCCAATAAATACGGAATTCAGTCCCTTGACATGAAATCACAATAAGGTGTGTATTAGGAAAGAAAAAAGGAGGAGAGCAATCTGTGAACCACTCGACAGGATACTCACCTTTTGACTGAACCAGTTCATTGATCTTATTTTCACAAATCATCAGGAAGGACATGATCGATTCCTGCTGGAATTGAATCATTTTGAAACCGTTCCAAATAAATACAAGTTCCTGTAAGGTAAAAGGGGCATACCATGGCAGTGCGTGATTAGGATCAGTGAAACGGGGGTAGTGGTTAAAATGAGTCATTCATTCACTGTTGTAGAAATAGGATTTTAGAACTTTGTAGCTCTGTTTTATCAAGCCACAATAAAAGGTGTGGATAGGCTTGCCCAAAAACTAACTTATATGGATTTTATCGGATTAATTCCACAATGTAGTCCTGATCGTGCATACTCTATTCCTACTGCAACTACTGCTCACTGATGTCAGTAGTTAATGTAAAAAAATAGGAAACAGTAAATCGACTTTTGAAAGATGCGGACCGCGAACTGGTACATTTCATTGATGCTAGAAATTACTGCTCCCCTAAACACATAGTTGCACTCCAAGAAGTGGCAGTACATGTTGGATGCGAAAAGCATCAAAGTCTACGGATGAGAAAGTTGGTTTTTGTTATCGAATGTGACTCAAAATGTGGAAGCTTGGCTTAATCAGACGATGGATGGCAAGGACTCAGCTTGGTCGCCCGAGCTAATCGTCCTCTCGTCACAGTACGCTGATTCAATTTCAAGTATGAATTTTTCCTCATTATATGGTACTCTCGGGGAAAACAGTGTTCACATCAACCTGTTATGAGTCAGCTGGAATCCACCAGAAAAAATAACAACTTGAAGATGCTCCAGCAACTCGAATGATAAGGGACATGCTACTTTGCTCAGTCTCCATAATCTTGTTTCTATAATCTACGTAAAATGATTCCAGAACCGGACTTGATTTCATCAGAGTGCACTGCAAGAGTCTATTTGCTGAAGGAATGTTAAGACAGATTAAGTCAGATTATAAAATAGCAGTTGAATCTGGAGGACAAAATCACCGTTGTGTGCACGCGATCAAAATGTTTTCTTAAAATTTATTTTCACCCACGCCTGAGTTCGGATTGTATGCGAAACAAATCACAGTACAAAAATCCGTGTGAAAAAGAAAAACGGTTCATGATTTTCTCGACGGCAAGATATTGCCAGAATGCTCAGACCAAAGCAGGTGAATTTTCTTAACCAGTTCACAATTAGAACCCTTGGCTAGCCAAAGCCTGAGCCACAAAGCAATGGGGCGATGTCGGAAAGCTGCAATCCATTGGGAGTCGGTGTCCAATTCATTGGATCATGCGCCCTGTGGACGGAGTCAAACGTTCAAGGATGCTCAGTACTCCTTGTTGCCCAATCGAGCNCAATCGAGCCGGTAATCACTATCGTGACGAGGAAGCTCTGGGTAAGTGTGGTTCGTATGCCTCCTCTTGGTTTGTTTGGAATCAAGGATTTTAGGTAAACTGCCAGTGAACCGGTTATAGCCCAGAATATTAGCTTTTCGTCCTCTCGTTGTGATGGGGAAACGTCTCAGCCCCACGAGAAGACAGTGAGTGGGGCTTCCGCAGCAGGGACTATTTGCGAATCTTGGTCTCACGAGAGCATTTCGCGAGGTAAAAAGGAGAGATGAGCAGTCGTAGCCGGAGACACCCACCCCTGATCATGCTGTTTTCTTATAAAATTACCACTGTGCCAGTTTCTTTGCGGACGTTTCATGAAGAGTTTCTACGAGGTGTCAACTACAAATATTCAAACGTGATTCTCCAATAATGGCCCTGTTGGCCTTAAAGCTTTCATTTGGGTAACTCTAACACAGCGGTTGATGGAAAATTATATAATCGTATGGATTCAAGGGAATCTGTCTCCACCTAAGCAGCATCAAGAAGCTGTTGTAGTTGCCAGGAAATGTGTTACGGTATTAGAGTGTTGTTGTTGTATTGAGTTCCATTTAGTGTTTCGCTGTGAGTAACATTTCAGTGAAATATTTTTAAAAAGTTTTTTTTGAAAATCGTGAGCATCGATTGATGCGCACCGGAATTATCGTTGTTCTACCTCGCTTGGTTTTCTCGCTCACGTATATCATTTAATCCAATCTCACCAACCCTCCGAAAGCCTCAGTATGGTTGTGGTGTGTCTTGGGTTGCGGCTGGTCATCTCTCCTTTGCAACTTGCTCCTGTGCTACCAAGCGTCTCAAATAGTTTCTACTAAGAAAGCCTCACTAACTGCCCTCTCGTGAGGCTGAAGTGTTTTCCTACCAAAATAAGAGGATGAAAAGTCAATATCCGAGGCTACAACGGGATTGGTGAACCATTAGCAGTTCCCCTCAGGGAGTTGACTAAAAAGCATGATTCCAAACAAACCAAGAAGAGGCATACGAATCAGCACCCTACACACATCTTCCTGGTTGTCGCAGTGGTCAGCGGCTCAATTGGGCATTGCGATTCATCGGATTCCTTGGACATTAGACCCCGTTCATAAAGCTTATAATCCGATGGGATGGATACCGGCCCCCACTGGATTGTGGTTTTCCGACACCGCCATGCTACCTCGCGGTTCAAGCTTTGGCTAGACAAGGGCTCTGATTGTGAACTGGTTAAGAAAATTCACCTGCTTTGGTCTGAGCATTCTGGCAATATCTTGCCGTCGAGAAAATCATGAACCGTTTTTCTTTTTCACATGGATTTTTGTACTGTGATTTGTTTGGTACGCAATCTGGTCTGTGTGAGAAGATGCATATATAAAGCCGTATAAAAGGGGAACAATTAGAAAAACGGTCATAAAGCATTTCTTCAGTGAGTGCATTCCATTTATGAGGTCATTGAATACGGGAAATGCTGCGGGGTTCATCTTGCTTTCGGTTAACTTGAGATTCCAGCAGAAGCATCCCAAATGACTGCCTTTGACATGGCTGCCCGCTGAATAATTTATTCAATTAGGTAATTTGTACGGTGAGTCATCTTTTATGCTACATCAAAATTAACTGACAGCGTCAGTTCCACTGATCTAATAGTTTATATCTTGCAAAACGGAAAGCTGCTATTCATTAAAAAAGAAATAAGAACGCCGTATGACTTCTTATTTCGGCTGGCATGTCTTTATTCTTTGGAAAATAGCCTGCTGGAAGTTAAAATTCGAATCGCCTCTCAAAACGCCGTTGAAAACTTTTCAGTCTGCAAAAACAAAATGACATCATCGGTAGCCATGAGCCACAAGCCGAGGACAATTCGAAACTCACTAATTCACAACGATAATCAGCATCATCGTTCTAAACCGGACTGGTATTTGTTTGCATCAGTTTGAATTCGAGCAACACAAAGCAGAAGTAAAGATCATAATCTGGTGGGCACATAGAATTTGATGATTGCATTAGAACACCCGGAAGGCGATTATCACAGCTATATAGTCAGTGTTCCTGAGAGACACACCCTCAATGACCATGGGCTATCGCATGCAATATAATAGGGGTTAAAGTAAGGGTGGGACACACACAGACACAAATGAAAATTCGCTTACCAGAGCAGGCAGTGTGAGTCGTTTGTTTTGGGAGAAATAGCGTTTCGATTTTCGCAGGGCAATCTTTTCCAGCGGCAGTGATCGTCCGGCAAATCTTTGCATTAGCTTCGGTATTTCACTGCATCGGAAAAAATAAAACATTGACGGAATAATTCGGAGAAAGCATTTTTTCCGGGGGAGGGGGGGGGATTTTCCTGGTCACCGTCGACATGCAACTGAATGCAACGGACAATTTAGGTAGATTGACTGACAACTCACTTAATTATTAGAGAAATGTTCAAGCATACTAAAATACTCCGAAGTTCGTGATGAATTACCCCAGTTTACATTATCGGTGTTCCGCTCGTTGTTGACTGGTTGTAAGTTGGCAATCATTTTTGTACACCACAGCGGTAGCCCATAATTTGTCACCTTTTCTGTGCCAATTACAAGGACTTATTCGTCACCTCCGCTTTGCCTTGGTGGCTCATTTTCCTCTCTCTTTCACATTTATTTTTTTAAATTATTTTGTAAGCCCTTTGCATTTTTGTTTTTCTGTAGTTCAGATACTTATCCTTTTTACCTGTGTAAAGTTTGCGGCTAACTTCTTGTAATTTCAAAGTTTGCGTTGAATGGGTTATACACAGGTCCTCGGTGCAGATAGCTGGCTTCTCATCAAGTGGAGAAAACATGTACATCATAGCCACTATGACTGGATGAGTAGTATTATCAGTGGGAATGCAGTTTGCCCACAGATTTGACTGAAAGCATAATTCACAGTTGATGCGATTACAATGCTCCGTTGATTTAGTTTCTGATTCATATTCACTGATTTAGTAGGTGTGCATGATTACAATTGCATTAGCGCGTACAGGACAACCATTCGATGGTCCTTACGAACTATACCTTTCGTGTGGCTTTCCCGGAAAAGTACAACATTCAAGACAATCAGCACAGACTATTTTCGAGGTAAGTTTATCAAGGCGGCACATAGCCGGTTGGAATGAATTGATTCGACTACTGTTTGTGATCCGCCCATCAAGGTCGTCTTCTGTTGTTCGCTGCGGGACGGGAAGCCAATTGTCATTCCAATATAATTTTTTCCGGAAGACATATTATAAGTTTGTGTGAAAAGGTCATAATCGAAGGTTCTCCGCTCATGATAGTGTAAGTCAGACCGGTTTCTAGAATCAACTGACCTTGGAATAGTTGGATAAACTGAAATAATTATCCCTCGTGTGGAACAAATGATTGTGTACGCATGATGGCCGGATAAACTGGGGATTGTGCATAGTTGCCAAGTCTAAAGCGTTTATTCCACAAATCTATTCCCAACACTGGGTAAAAACCTCGAATAGAACCCGGCCTAGCAGATTTATTGGGAGTTTCTCCAAATTCTCGTCCCACTGGGTTGGAATTAAATGTTGATTATACCAAAATCAGACGACGCTCGTCAATCATGTAAAGCTTTGGTAATAATCTAGCAACTTTCAGAGACTTTTTGCGATCGAAAAATACTCGTCGTGGTTCACCGAGGCATTCTTGTGCAGTTTTAGTGAACTGTTTGTATTTGCGTCTTTTTTGCCCACGCTGGTTTACATGCCTTCTTTTTTGAATGCGGTGTAAATGTTTGTGATAAAAGACAAAGAGCACTGGACGGCTGTTTCGTACTGTCTGGGACTCGTCAACAGTGCGCACGTTTTGTGTTCCTGTCAGGACTCGAAACCGCGAACATTTGGGGTGGGACTTCAAACCCTTACCCCTGAACTACACAGTCGACGATTATCACCTTGTGCGAAGGGCTCAATCAATGTTTAGATGGTCAATGTTTGGAATAGCTCATCAACATCATCGGCATCATCAACAGTGCCCGGTGCCAGTGAAAAACCGAATGGGATAATCCAAACATTTACTATCTGAAGCCTTCTTCTTTTACTTTGTTGACTTACCATCACAATCCAAAACCAGATTCCATCGTCATTTTTTATTCCTAAAATGTCCGTTCACTTTGAGAAGAATTACTATTTTTGTATATTTCATGCAACGAGTTCCTTTTAGGGAATTTTGTAAAAGTAAGAACACGCATTATCTCAGGATAGGATGACATCAACTGTCTCATGTCATCGCTTTCATCGACATTTGCGAGTTCGATCCGAACAGTGATTAGGCTTTCCGCAGTCCGGGCGTGGGTCAAACGTACACTATGTGAACGCGAATCTATCCTGTCTAGACCTGCACAAATTATGCAAACACCTGATGTCTAATCTACTGTTGTACTTTAGTATTATGTGGATTTTGTCACAACTTTTATTTTTCTAATTATCCACTTCTGTGTTGACTGCACAGCTACAGTAAATAGATGAAGAGGAAACGTATCAGCGGAGTCAATTAATCAAAACTGTGATAGACAGAATTGCGACAACTGTAATCATTTTTCACCTAATTTGAATTCTGTGGTTAAGAGTTGGCCTGCCGCAGCAAAGCACGCCAGAACAGACTTACACCAACAACTGATCAATGTGTTCAATCGTTTTCTCTCGAGTCTCGTAGGGGCTGAAATCGGTGGTTGGGAACGTGGTCTGGTCCGCCTTCGGGGTTCTAATACCGGGATCATCAAGCCATTGTAGTAGGAATGCGGCTTTCATGTACCGATAGGAGGCCTGACTCCATTGACTCTCTTTGACCAGTTTCTCCGCGCACCGAACCGCTTTCATCCAGTCTGCACGCAGTCTGGAATTCAAACATTTGATAAGTGTTTATGGTTTGAGATGGCATCTCTAGTCTCATGTGTTTTTGGGATTGTCTCTCTCTCTCTCTCTCAGTCTCACCAATTCTCACTATTGAGCGTTTGCTTGAATGATTTATATGAAACTTAAAAAAACTATAGTTTAAAAACGGCCAACACCCATTATGAAATGCACTTGGTTAAAATAAACCGTATATCTATGCATATAAATCCATGTAAACGTTTTGAGGTGAACCAAGGTATTACATCGCATTGGGTGAATAGAAAACAATTTCAAGTTGACGTTTTTCAGGCTTCTCTCTGGTTGATTTTCAGTGTCCTGATCAATCTAGGTCAATTAATGAAGACATGTTTAGTATCAGAGCCGAATGAAAGGACGCAGGAAGGTGGACGGGGATGGGAGGAGGAGGAGGGGGTAAGGTTAGGGACAAGTGAAAACCCGCGGTCGCACGTAACGTGTAGCATAGTGAAATGTTTCAGTCGAATTGAAATATCATATGCAATCTGCAATACGTTACATCATGCGATGTTCCTGCCTTTTCTTTGACCAGATTGTAACAGACAGCAAAACTTAGTCATAGATTCAGTCAATGATGAGTGTAAAAAACAGGAATGCATGCGAATCGATTAGGCGCGACCAAATCGATCTACCAACAATAAAACTGTGGCCTAGATTGGATAACTGTTGGGTTGGGCAGTTATCACTGTCCGACTCAATCATTGCCCAGTTCAGTTCGTCCAGTTAATCATATGGTGTGCACGGTGGTTCCCTGTCATCTTCTTATGCTTTTGCTAACCGTTCGGACGCTTCTCACCGGTAATTCTCACCAAAGTGTGAACAAAATCAGACAATATAACTTTAAAAACATATTGTCTGAGGATCAATAAGTACGGTCGTGGTGATCCCAGCCTGCAATATGACACATACCATGGAGTGATGCGTTGCAGTTTTAGGACAACTGTGATCAATAAAGTTTCACGGGTGACGTCAGCAAAGCGCGTTTGTGCCACAACTTCTGGACTAAAATCCATAGGCCGATCGTACCAGCCAATAAGAACCCGTACGGCCCAGACAGAAGCAGAACAACGGCAGAAATACTAGAACGCGATTGGCAGAGGCACGGATGACTAATGAGCTTGTTTTGTACATATTATTTAATCCCCCTTATTTTTTTCAATAAATGAACTACCACTCCAGTGGCCTTTTCCTCGCGTTTCGGTTACGTGGGATATTCTGTGCACGTACCAATGTGGTCCAGTGCTTACGTGACGTCTGTGATTCGCGTTTCGTGTTCATTGCGTGCTACTACTCCATTGCTACAAACACTACAACGGTTTCTACAACAACGATTCGGTAACTAGCAGACGGTGTGCAAACAATCATTCGTGGAGCAGTTGAAATAATGTCAACTTACGCGTAACACCACATCAGCTCCCAGTAACAGACATGTTGATATTGTGGCCAATCTAAGGGCAATTTCGTGGCCTCCTCAAACGTCTCGATCGCCTGAAGTGTTAGAAAATGGTGGAGTTACATGATTCGAGAAAAGTAAAAACGTCTTTAGTCAAATATCAATATAGTGTACGGATTCCTGATTTGGACGACGGTTTCTGGTACATCATTTGTAAAATAACGAAGCCTCAGCGAAAAACATTAGAATTTATTTATAAAAATGACTCGTACGATTGGTACAGTTATTGAACTTTCCTTTTTTCAGTGTTCCATTTGCCCTTCTTCATTTGTGAGCACTGGAGGCAATCGCTTTTGTGCGGAGTCCACCAAGTTGACTGTCCAACAGTATTTATCGCACCCTAACTACTGACGACCACTGTCAGGGTAGCTAACTTATCTCTGCTTCTAACACAGGGAATAGTTTTCGATTAGATTGAGATCCCAACCGTTGGGCGGTAGTTGAATACGAAACTGGACTTGACCCCTGCAGGAACTGCATAAATAACCCCAAGCGAGAAGATATACAAAGCTTCATCTGTGAAAAATAGGACTTCCGCGAATGCACTTTGAGAATGACCGTTATCAAAAACCTCCATTATCAGTGTAACAACTTTCACGCTATCTAAATTGTTGTGTATATAAGACCAACAACAAGCTGCTCAATAATTACTCCCCTTCGAACTCGTTAGGTGGGATGGATATTCATTTTTTTGACAGGTTAGACGCAAAAAATTGGAAAACTAGGTCAGTAGATCAGCTTTCTTTGCCTTCTGAATTGCTCGTTGGTCATCAGTGAGATAAACCCAATGCCAATTAGACGGGCTTATGTTCTGATTGAAGCAGTTGCACAAGTGAGCAACTGAATCGTCCAATTGATTGCCTCTCTTGGTTTCAACTATGTACCAAAATCTTTTGGGCATGATGACAGCACGAAACCTTTATTCAACGAGCCAAACACCTCAATGTTGGAAAGTCAGCTTTTCTGATTTTTGGAATGCATTTTTAGTTCTTTCCGGATTAAGGACATTGCGTCCACAGTTTGTAGCCAAATAATTTACCAATTCATTTTCAAGCTCGAAAATTTTCATTTACTATGCACTGAATGAAAAAAGCTGTTTTGAATACATGTGTTCAATCTAATATACATTCTCATGAAACAGGAATCATTCATTAGAATCCATGCTAGTTTGCATAAAATATTTTCCAAATCTGAGCTGTAAATTTCGAACTACTAAAATTGTTATCGCAACACTCGAGTTTGAGCAAAGTCAAACGGTGACAGAAGAGAACTAGGAACATAGAAGTTCGCGATAATTAAATAAATATATTTCACCCATAGCCATCATTATACAAGTATGATTTTGTAAACTGAAGTCTATTTGGAAATGAGAGTGATGTTGCACGAGTTTGATCATGATTGTGGAAAACAAATTTTTTTCTACAACGGCTTGTTCTACACCCCTTACCTATAACTTGGTTCCACTAATCCATTCAAAAAGATGAAAACCAAACAAAGATATCGAAGACGAACCGCTTGATTGTGTTTTGAGGCAAAGAATAGGAGGTTTCAGTTTGGAAAAAGAAAACTACTAGAACCAATTCCCTATTGAAATATCTATTATTCTTACTTGTAACAAAGTGACTAGCTTATATTTGTGTGACGCAAATACACAAATGAGGGAAGTAAACGGATAAGAAATGAGTGATTGATTACTGAAAGCATCGCTGATGAATCAATTAATAAATTCCGTAGATCATTAGTTAAGCACTAATTTTATTCTGATTACACAACACGGGGATCATTCTGAATGTGTGCTGTGGCGTCATTCAGAGCAACAACAAAATTCTAAGATTTTGAGCGAATCGGAGTGTGAATATGAAAATTCATTTGCTCGTGGTACACCAAATTTCGTCAGTTCCACACAAAAATTAAAACAAAAACAGATTTTCCAGTTTTCACGCTGTCGTGTGTTTACCTTTTCCAAATCGCCTGCCACTGCTTCACATCGACCAGCTAACAGCATGAAAATAGCACTTTTCGGGTAAATCATGCGCCAGTAGGTCAGCAGCGCCTTGGCCTCGACAACATGTTCTGGCTTTTCGAAAGCTTTTTTTTTTTTTCAACGATCAGGGTGGGGGGGGTGGTTGCGGGACAGAAATATAATCAATAATGTGACGCAATTATTCGAAATTCATTTGTCAGGTTTCATTAGACAGCCAATCGGACACGCGGCAAAATGTTTGGCGGAGAGGTTCATATGAGCAATACCTCGTGCAGAATGCAAGCAGTGATTGTGCACAACAGAGAGAGAGAAGAAAATGGCATTGGATTAAAAGTTACCAAGGTAAAATCGCAAGGCGAGAATTTGCAAAACCGATTCGATTTGGGTAGTGTACTTCTTGTTTTTGCCTATAGGAATCACTTAGCAATGTATCCTCCCAGAACCAACCATTCACCGTATTTGCTTGATTCTACATGCATCCCATGTGGTCTTTACAGACTGTTCGTAAATTAGACTATTCTTTCCGTAGCAGTTCAAACACACTGGTTCCGTAGGATTTTCTAAGTACCTGCCAATAAGAAAGCGAGTACTTTGAGGTAACTATCGACCGAAGCAATGGAAAACCAACATAAATAAAGTGACTGTATTGGTTTTAACTCTCGTCAACTACTTCGAGCCTCTTACCAATTTTTGATAAACATTCAAAGCGGACCTATTCTTGATCATTGAAAACATGCTGTTTAAATTATTGCTAAAATTCGGATGATTACTGTGAGACGGGAGGGTAGCAGAACGGGGAAAATCCACGGGCTCGTCATGGACAACGTTAATGCGCTCGAATGCTGACATCAACCTCATAATTCTCGGTTGTTTGTTGTAGATTTGAAGGGCAGTCGAATCACACACCGCGCCCAAATGGGATGACCGGTGTAAGGCAAGTCAGGATCTGTTAATTGAGTTATTTGCGTGATCCTTAGCAAGTTTTCTTAGAAATCACTCTTGAACAAATCCGAGTTTAATGTTTACTTTGTACTAAAACATTTTTTATCAGATCTGCCTTGTGCTGAGCGATATCGGTTACCGTTTTCTCGAGAAGTGCTCTCATAATACGGAACGAACTTTCGCAGATATCAGGGTGTTATTGCTCTGCGTGGTAATAATAATATTGTTTTAAGTACTCAGGTAATCGAGGTTAATTGCGAAGGACATCACATGACTGATACTCATCCCTTACCGACAGGCTATTGGACATTTGGGAATGTTTCTTTGAAATGATCAAACCTTTCGAACATGTATATGGCTTCCCTTACTATTTTCTCCATGTGACCACGTCTATGCTGGTGGAATCGGTGGCAGTTGAGCAAGAAACTTCGTACATGAGAATGCTTACGTGCGTGGCGCGGACTAGAGTTAAGCTTTCAATAAAGTTATGGAAGTTTGGAAAGTATTAACTAGCAATGAAACGTATGCACACAGTCCGAGCTACGAAGCATTAAACATTTTACGCATTCAAGGCCTGAAAAACTGACATGTTAGCGATTTCTTTGCAAATTCTATTTAAGGCGAGGGAGGAGGTAGTCAAGTCTGAGTCACGTTTCATGTGCGACCATTTTATGCTCAGGTTTGCCAACTGTTTTGTTGCATGCAATCAGGGGTGATCCAAAAAAAAGATTTAACAAACGCGATAATATCACAAGCTCAGGAAAACATGTTCAACTATGCTCCCGACCTTTGCAGTTATTCTCATGGAATACTGTGAAGCATCGACTCCATTGTGTTTTGGTAACAGAACATACAATCGATCAACAAGAAACCAGGTAAATGTATCTTTCCATTTTACTAGATTTGGGGCTTTTGATTGTGACAGACCTTAGCTTCCTGCAGAAACCCCAATTTTACCCATTGATCCTATAATTGAGAAGCAATCGGTCTGAGTTTTGCGCTTATTGGAGTTTATCCATCTAATAAAGCGGTATTTGAACATTGAAGCCCTGGCGCAGAACCCGGTTTTAATTGATACATGAGTTAACCAGAACTGTAGGTTCGATTTACGCTGATTTTGTCTTCGAACGTTCGTAGTCGACCGTGGGTATTTTGTCTACTTAGATACTCTTACAAGCAAACAACCTCCGACTTTTGTGAGTAGTCTTTTTTATCCGAGAATTTCTGAGTTACTCGTGGAGCTGCAGAGTGTTGTTTAAATAAAAAGGACTCACCGGTGGAGCGGTCCGTTACAGTACCTATTGGATGTGAGCGAGTTACAATATCTTGGGAATAGCATATGTGCATCATCATAGGTCGAGAAGTCAAATTCAGAAATCTGGGTGATTAACGAAATTGGGCTTTTGGGATCAAAGTATCAGACAATAATCATCGAAATGAAATGTTGGAATCACTAATGAAGGTAATGGATTTAAACAGTTTTTGGACTTTTATGTGTCCATCTTGTTCAATAGGATACTAATACTGCCACTTTCAGTCGTGCCACTGTCGAATGAGTATAAAATCTCTCCATGGAAACCTACGCTATTTATATGGACCACTGTACTATCTCAATAGAACGCATTATCATGATTAGGCATGAATCGAAGTCAGGTGCCAAGTGAATTAAGTGGGCAATGAGTCCAACAAACATGACAGATAATCATGAATGTTGGTTGAAGTGGCAAACTAGTTAAAAAGCCCAGTTCCTCAAATGATCAGCAAAAAAATAACAGCTGGTGAAACAACGTTAAAAGGAACCCGTTTCAATGTAATGAGTGCATATATGGACCAAATATAGTGAAATGAGATAAAATGAAGTTATGCCAAGCGACAATGAGAAAACAGTGAGTGAAATGGCGTTAACAAAGAGCAAGCCGGAGCACCCAATTACATTGAAACTATCACGACAAAAGTAATTATTAAAGGAAACCTATTACTGATGACAAAACTTACAGACACTGGAAACAGTATCGCCTGTAAATATACGAGAAAATAGAATAATACTGATATAACGAATTGTTTAGTAAATAACGAATGACTAATGGTTAGCAAATTGTCGGTGAGTGTACAGATAGTTTGAAGCGTTACCCGGTTATCTTTTTACAACTCTGTACAACTTTGGATACTTTTTGTCCTGGATCTTATTGAATATACAGGAAAACAATACTCCAATGGGGCCTTAATACGGTATGCTCATCAACCGACTCAACTGCATGCCACCGGAGTAAATGAATCCGCAAGGTTTGCGTTTACGACTTCACATCTGTTAACCACCCATAGGGATAGAAGATGTTCCACTATGACGCATCTCATCTTGTTGGAACTGCACGGTTCTCAGATTGGCTAAAGAGTTACTCTTATAAAGCACTGAACCCCGGAATGCTGTGAAACAATCGGCGGGCTTTCCTGCTTGCAGAGTTGAATTGGCTGTTAAACAACTTCATCTGATTAATTCACCAATAGATCAAACACCATGAAGGTGCGCAAGCACTCTGATAATCTGATTCAATGAATCATCCAAATTCTTGAGAACTGTTTTCTTCTTTTACTAAATTATACTTATTCCCCCAGGTTATATATGTTAATGTACAATAATCAAATTGTATTGATAGATTTGATGAGAATCGTTTGATCGATGATATAATTCCTGATACTGACCACGAACGAGATTAAAATATCATGAATGAAGTGTACGGGAACAAAGGAACGTATTGGTTTCATGTTCAAACGAATTTTAAGTGCTTGTTATTCAGCGAGTCACTTATGGAACACAAACCTTCAATTTCGCAAACGAATTCGACATGCAACTATAACGTGTTACACACCAGCACAAACTCCTTTCCTAATAAATCGTTAGCCGTTCAGTTTCACTAACCGCGATGTGATAAAACAAAACCTGATGAGCGAATGGAGAGTTAAACATGTGCACAGGTAGCGCACGCATTACACCAACAAAGTCATATAACTATTCGACAAAGATTGGAAAACTAACCCGTAGGTTGGTTGTGCAGCCGCACTGGCTGCGTCCATGTAGGGATTCGACGTTTTCAAAATATGATTACATGAAAAATTCTTCAAACCCACCAATCACTTAATCTGGAGCGTTCTGCTCAAGTTTACCATTCCAATCATCGGTTTGCCATTTCTTCAGCGAATACCAACCCAGCGTGCAAAACAAACTTCGTTAGGTAAAATGATTGATTTTTACTAACTGCAAATAACTGAATACTACCCCTATGTAAGGTTCTAAAGTAAGGTAAGCTATGACTTTATTACTGATTCTTTTGTCATAAGACTCGCTTAGATGTGTACGCAATATTTTGTGAAATCTTTGAAATGTACTGTAAAGAAACGTAAGGGGGCTCTGTGGGCAATTTTTCCGAGGAGGGAAGTATTTCAATGAATACTTTTATACTACTGAATTGAGTAGTCAGTAGTATAATGTTTTCATCAAAAGTTCACCATAGCTGAATGTTAGAAGTGAGCTGACCCCGGAAACGTTTGTTTTCAGTAGTTAGCAGTTAAAAGATGTATCGGTGGTATTTTGATGGTGAAATCAGGCACAATACAATGCATCTCATCTAAAAATCCTGATTTCTGGAAGCTCAATTCATTCAACAATATTTCGTTGGTTTCTTTTCACCTGTGAGAAATGATTCCACTTACATAGTGCTATGCGTTGAAAATAGGAACAATCTTATTTGATTTCATTTTGGAAAGGTTCATTTAACTATTATTCATTTCGAGTAATGGTACCTGCCGCATATTGAGGCTAAAAAAATGACAACGGAAAATGTCAGAGAACAGTGAAGAAAGTTTCACTGGGATTTGGTTTGACAGGCCGTAGAACACTGGGTCCTCCTTGCTGACCAATTAAGAAAATTTCTCATTCAATAAATTGAAGACCTAATCTATAGGAAACCCAATTGATTCAGCAAAAAATATGAGATTTTCAAGGAATGTGATAGTTCCATTTTAGGTTTTTCAAGAGTTCATTGGAAAAGGACATCTGTTTTGGTTCTGCTTCTTGTTCTTTTTGAGTGCAGAATGAATTTCGATTACTTCCAATCTGCTGCAAACCTTGAATTTCTCTAATTTGTTTGTTGTTAACTAAACAGTCACAAATTTGTTTTCAAAACCAATTTTTCAGCAGAAGTATGGCAATGCAAAATAGCATAACACAGACTAATGACCTGACCAATAATCAGGTAGATCTGTCTGCACGATTTATTCGTTGTTTTTTTATTTCCTTCGGGATAACTGATTTAAAACCGAAGGTAAGTACTTAGATGTTCGCACCTGATGAACATCATTTCTAAATATATAAGCACGGAAATAGCAAACCTGAAAATTTGCTAACTGTTACAGATCAATTTGCAGAAAATCGACTCAATGTCATTCTGATTAGGATGCACATTTTTCATGTCCACGGTCTGACGAGTCGCTTGTTATAAACCACCGAGAAGCTTTCCATGAAGAAATAAAACACCATATTCCACTTACAACAGTTTGGAGGATATGAAATTCAACTCATTGTTTGAAGTAGCTCCTAAATGGTGTTTGGATGAGACTGTTTAAGGACCAAAGGCCTAAGCACTGAATTGAGTAAATCGGGATTTAATCGGTCCGAGTAAATGGAAAATTGACCACATAATGACCACATAATGATAGGAAAAGAAAACCACGCAAATCTGGAGTGTCCAGTTACTCAGTCAGAGAGCCTAGATCACTATTCCGCGCTACATACGTCCGGAAAAATAAAGCTGGCTTATACGAAGATCGCTGCAAATATTCCATCCCGGAATCACTAAGAAATTACTTCTATGTCAATGACTACATGAAGGCTCCGTGAAGTATCTATGTGGAGTGCTTGTTCAATGAAATCCGTGACGAACAACCGAAAGTTCGACAAAGTGAAAAATGACATGAATTCGTCATCCTGCTAATG